AGAGTCTTTACTCTGGGGAGGATGAGGGGAGGATGCTAATAGATCTTTCAGTGCATTACAGAAATGGCATTGTGGTGATCTAAAGCAGGAGTGGAGAACTTCTTTTCCAGTTCAAGGGCCACATTTCTTCTAGGAGAACCTTCAAGGGACTGGATAACAGTGGTGGGCATGCCCAAAGGCAAAGGGGGCAGAATGATGGACATGACCCTGACAATAGGCTCCAATCCAGCCCCACAACCCACAAAACGTTCTACACACACACCACATACATATTTGCCTTCTCCATCTAAGCATGTGGGGGACATTATCACAGTTCAAGGACACCTTCCAGCAGCAGAAAGCACTCAAGGAGGGTGAAGAGCAGAGTCAGTAGCCTGAAGAGAAGGTATGGACAAGGAGAATCCTGAGAGCTAGATAGAGAGGCCATTGGGGGCCACATTTGGCTCCTGGGCCTGAGGTTCCTCACTTCTGATTTAAAGGTAACACAAGGTTTTGGGGTTGTTGAGCTGTGAGACAAAAAAGGGCTGAAAAGTGAAGAGCTTTAGTAAACAGTTGAGGCTCTGCTTCCACAGCAAATAGGAAATAATTCTATTATGGTGTTTTTATTGCCTCGTTACGATGGGGTAAACTTCAGCGCTGCCTTTTTATTGGTGCCATCTGCTTCCTTCCTGGCAACCATAAGCAATGGTTATCACCTGGTGCAATTAAAATAAAAGAGTTGCTTCTACGTTAGGTATACAGTATTCAAAACTTGGATTCCTAGAAGGAAAACTTTTCACTCTGGAGGTCATAGGTAGCCAAAGAAAGCAGGGTATTCAGGCCATTTGATTTTTCTGGTTTGGGTCCCTGATAAACTGCTCCCTCTGCAGTCATTCCTATGTGGAGGAAAATGGGAAATGCCTCTTGACAATTCTGCATGACAATTCTGCAACCTTTTCAGAGTTCTGCTCCACTTCCATAGCCCATAGATGCAGCACTGAAGTTCACTGGTAGAACATACAAGTTTCAGGCAGAAGGACCTGTGTTCCACCTCCAGTAGCAGGTGATGTTAAAGACCTGTGCCTGTGAGTTCTGGAAAACTGCTGTCCATCAGAGTAGATGACAGTGGATTTGATAGAAACTACCTTGTATAAGTACTTGATATCTTCCTTGTATAAGGCATCTACCAATGTTTCCATAGGCCTCAAAATGAACACACCTGCCCCTTGGGATCAAAAGGAGAGCCTCTGCTTTGGGTGATAGATGTTCTTGGAAGCATCATGGGAAGCTACCACATACCAGGTGAGACTACTGGTCCATGTGGCCTAGTTCTGTCTGTATCAGTTGAACCAATGTGGGGGTTATCCAGATGTGGTTGTTATTGTTTAGTCATTTAGTCGTGTCCGACTCTTCGTGACCCCATGGACCAGAGCACGCCAGGCACTCCTGTCTTCCACTGCCTCCCGCAGTTTGGTCAGACTCATGTTTGTAGCTTCAAGAACACTGTCCAACCATCTCGTCCTCTGTCGTCCCCTTCTCCTTGTGCCCTCCATCTTTCCCAGCATCAGGGTCTTTTCCAGGGAGTCTTCTCTTCTCATGAGGTAGCCAAAGTATTGGAGCCTCAGCTTCACGATCTGTCCTTCCAGTGAGCACTCAGGGCTGATTTCCTTCAGAATGGATACGTTTGATCTTCTTGCAGTCCATGGGACTCTCAAGAGTCTCCTCCAGCATCATAATTCAAAAGCATCAATTCTTTGGTGATCAGCCTTCTTTATGGTCCAGCTCTCACTTCCATACATCACTACTGGGAAAACCATAGCTTTTACTATACGGACCTTTGTTGGTAAGGTGATGTCTCTACTTTTTAAGATGTTGTCTAGATTTGCCATCGCCTTTCTCCCAAGGAGCAGGCGTCTTTTAATTTCGTGACTGCTGTCACCATCTGCAGTGATCATGGAGCCCAAGAAAGTAAAATCTCTCACTGCCTCCATTACTTCCCCTTCTATTTGCCAGGAGATGATGGGACCAGTGGCCATGATCTTTGTTTTTTTTGATGTTGAGCTTCAGACCATATTTTGCGCTCTCCTCTTTCACCCTCATTAAAAGGTTCTTTAATTCCTCCTCACTTTCTGCCATCAAGGTTGTGTCATCTGCATATTTGAGGTTGTTGATATTTCTTCCGGCGATCTTAATTCCGGCTTGGGATTCATCCAGCTCAGCCTTTCGCATGATGAATTCTGCATATAAGTTAAATAAGCAGGGGGACAATATACAGCCTTGCCGTACTCCTTTTCCAATTTTGAACCAATCAGTTGTTCTATATCCAGTTCTAACTGTAGCTTCTTGTCGCACATAGAGATTTCTCATGAGACAGATGAGGTGATCAGGCACTCCCATTTCTTTAAGAACTTGCCATAGTTTGCTGTGGTCGACACAGTCAAAGGCTTTTGCATAGTCAATGAAGCAGAAGTAGATGTCTTTCTGGAACTCTCTAGCTTTCTCCATAATCCAGCACATGTTTGCAATTTGGTCTCTGGTTCCTCTGCCTCTTCTAAATCCAACTTGCACTTCTGGGATTTCTTGATGGACCGAGAAATCCAGATGTGGTTAGACTTGCATTATACTTGGCCATTGGGGCTGGGGCTGATGGGAGTTGGAATCCAAGAACATCTAGAGGGCCATGAGTACCCTACTCCTGCCTTACAGAAGGCAAGGCACCTACCCAGATATTTCCACTGATATCTCCTACCCACTGAAGCTCCCCTTGGAAAGCTTTTACTGAGGGTTGGGGAGTGGCATCTGGAGCAATATGAGATACAGTGCAGAAGGAAGACCAGAGAAATCTGTCTTAGATTGAGTGGGATGCTGGTCCATCAAACTCAGTTTTGTCTATGCTGACCTGCAGCCGCTCACTAGGATTTCAGAGAGGGGTCTCTCCCAGCCCTACCTAGAGATGCTGGGGATTGAAACATTGACCTTCAGCATGCAAAGCAGACACTCCATCCCTGAGCTACAACCCTCTCCCCCAACTTAAAGGGAATCAGCAAAAACCAGGCTGAGTAGACTGCTCTTCCAAGGGTGGAAACCAACCCATAATTTTATTTGTTTAATCCAAGAGGGATACTCAGAAATGAGCTTCCCTGAATCGGAGATGGATTATTAACATCTGCCACCATGTGCAAATATAGATATATATTTAAAAAAAACCACTTTAATCTTATTTTTGTGAAAGCTTTCAAAATCATTTGTGTGTAAGAGTGAGAGGGCTTGCTTCTGTGGGGTTGTGTGCATGTGTGAGAGAGAGCGCTTTGTTTTTTAATTTCACTAGCACTGCTGGAGCAATATAAATGGTTGGCTTTCTTTGTTGCACATTGACAAGGCTTTTTCCAGCTTTAAAAAATCTGACACAGTTCCAACTTCACCTCTCCTCTCCCTCCCCCTCCCTCTCTGCCAGGGTTTCATGTTACTTGAATGAGAAGGATATATGATGGCCGAGCGTTCTGTATTCAGCTGTTAATCTGACAGCTTTTTCTTCTGCCATGAGAAAAGCTTTCAGCAATTTGGATGTGGTGCTGCGCTTGCCCCCACCCCCCTTCCCTGTCACTGCCAAGAACAATGCTTCTGTTCAAAGGTATAGAATTGCTCTGTGTTTGACCTCTGCCTCTGCATAATGGATAGTGTGCATTGCAAACAGTCTATTTGGGTGCGTGCAGCTCAAGTCAAAGCAGTCGTGTAAATTACAAGAGTGTGCTAGTCAAGTGGGATGCAATTTGAGGCCAAGACGAGTCACGGCTGGGCCGGGCTGGATTGGTGGGTTCTTTGATTTTTTTTTAACCTAATAATAGCTCTTCCTTGTGAAGGGAGAGCTCGTGTAGTATGGGTGCTATATAGGAGCTAGTGTGGTGTAGTGGTTAGAGTGTCGGACTAGGGCCTGGAAGACTGGGGTTCGAATCTGCACTTGGCATTAAAGCTCACTGGGTGACCTCAGGCCAGTCACTGCTTCTCAGTCTAACCCACCTCACAGGGGGCGGAAACCATGGCTCCTTGAGCTCCTTGGCAGAAAAAGTGGAATTCAAATGCAATAAATGAATAAAATAAGTAAGTGTAAACTGGGAAGTCACTCGCTCCAATCTTACCTCTGTCACAAGCCCACTTAGGAGACCTTAGTCAAGCCAACTTTCTTCTGGCATCTGTGTTTCATATGGGAACAGCCCAGAAAATAGGCTGAGAAGTGGAAGCTGGTCCATTAGGGCAAATGGGAAAGTGCCTCACCAAACTCAGCTAGGCCCACCTTCTTACTCCAGTTCAGGGTCTGGTGCTGGCTGTCAGCTTCCTCCTTGTTAATCTCAGTGTTGCCCTTGGAAAAACTCAGCAGGACAATACTTGAATTCATTGGCTCCACCTTTCATTGACTTTAACACCACCTATTGTCCGTCTCTCTGCCTTCAGCCCTATCAGTCCCATTGTGCACCAGCCACCACTGAATGTATGGGTAACCAAAAGCATGGTTTTACCACATTTCCACTGTCAACTGAAGGATAATTTCCAACTGTCCCCATTTACTGCAGACAACACCTTTTTGCTTGTGCCAGTCCACAATAAAATAAAGACTGTGGTTGAGATCTCTGGCCAACTTCTGGGTAGGTTGCTGGTTGTTGAAATTATTTCCAAATAATCCTAGACTAGGTGGACCTCCATCTGATTCAGAAGGGCATTCCTTGTGCCCTAGAGTAGTCTTCCCCAACCTGGTGCATTATATACATTTTAGATTGCAATTTCCATCATCCCTTAGCATTGGCCATGTTGGCATGATGGGAGTTGGAGTCCCCAAACTTATGGAAGGCACCAGGTTGGTGAATGTTGTTATAAAGCAGGTCTGGAGAAGCTTTGGCCCTCCCGATGTTGCTGAACTAAAGCTCCCATCACCCAGGCCGTTGGCCATGCTTATCCTCATGGTAGTGAATGTGAGACAGCTGTAAAGCAGGACAGGGAGGAACCTGTGGCCCTTCAGATGCTTTTTGGGATGTGAGGGCGATCTGGCTGCAACATCTGTCACCCCATTGATCCCCAGGGTTGATTCGGCTGATCTGGCTGATTAGGGGGGTGTCCCCTTCCTCCCTCACCGCTCCATGTGCGTCCCTCCTGAAGCTGCATGCTTGGTGGAAGAGGACGACCATCCCAGATAGAAGGAGTGTACCATTCTTCGGTCAAGGGTATATGATAGCTGCGCTCCCCTGCTAGAACCTCCAAACAAGTTCAAGGTCCAGATGCTTTTTGGACTCCATCTCCCATCAGCCCCAGCAATTGGGGCCCATGATCAGAGATGGTGGTAGTTGTAGTCCAGCAGCATCTGTAGGGCTTCCCCGCTCCTCTTATAGATCATCTTAATTGGATGCGGGTTGTTGGAAATGGAGAAGCAAAGGAATCACACTCCCTTTACAGCCATGAAACCAGGTATTTGGTCAAGTTTAAGTGTGGTTTGCAAACACTATTCTGCAAATAAGGGAAAAGAATTTGTGCCCTGCAAAACAATCAGTGAAAAAGTCTTTACGGCCGCTTGCCTCAAACAAATAAAGTAACAATAATAACAGACTTTATGCTATCACCAGAGGCAAGGACATTTTGTCCTCATGCTGGTAAATATCCATATCTGTTTTTGGAAGACTGTCTTATATGCTTTGTTTATTTTCAGGCAACAGTCTTCCCCCACACTCCTTCCGCCAGTTGATGAACTTTGTTAGTGTGATAACAGTAAAATCAGAATGTCTCTCTCCCCCACCCCAATAAAGATACAATACTCCACAAAACCTCAGCCCTCAGCTTTAAATTTACTTCAAAAACAAAGCACTTTATAGTCCTTATCCATCTGATGATCTGCTGGAGTTTGTGTGGATGATGTGTGCTGACATCCCAGTAATCTGTAGGGTTGCCGATGGCGATTTCCAGAGGTTTGCGCCCTGCCTAGCTTATTTCCCTTCCCTGAAAAAAAAACCCTTAAGCAGAATAGTAAAAGAAAACCTGTGGAATTAAATATGCAAAATTGGAGTAGTGGCGCAGAATGAATTCAGGTTAAAGAACTGGGTGTGGTGCCTTGATTTTTGTAGTGCACTGTATACACAACCTTGCCCATGTCTTTAAAATGTTCCTCAGTCTTTCTGGGTCAAATAAATGACATGTCTGCTTTTCCAGCACCCATTTGTCAGCTACAGGGCTGTTTTCTGGAGCTGGACAAACTCTACCCACCAGGGCTGACCATTGGATCCTTCTGGACAGGAGAGAGTATAAAAAGCTTCCTGTTCCAGCTAGATGGCTTCATTTCAGCAACAAGGCCTTTCTGAGCTATGGTGTCCCAAAACCTTTGGTTCTGACTTCTGGCTTATCCTATGACTTCTGGTTCACCAGTTGGGTATTTGACCTAGCTAATCTACACCTGCATTCTTACTTACATCCAGCCCAGAGGGTGGCATTAGCTGGTAGTTTTCTTCTCCTTAATCTCAGTGTTACTCTTGCAGAACTCTGTAGGAAAAAGGATGGAGACAAAACTAGACATTGGCTCTGGCACCATCTACTGTTGGGCTCCCTGCCTTCCGCCCTACCAGTCTCACTGGGCACCAACCACCACTGGATCGAACATGGGACATTTTACATGAAGATTTTGGGCTCTTATCATTCTGCTGGGCCACTGCTGAGGTCCGTCTTCTAAAAGGATGGGAGACTGCACAGAGTCCTCTATCTAATAATTTTTGAAGGCTGCAGTGCTTCATTGCTTATACAACACAGGCCTTTTACAGAACTCAGCAGGATGAATGCCTTTAAGAGATGAGATGCAATATTTGATTCCTGAGTCTCTGGTGAAGGATGCGAAACCCCAGCAGCCTCTGAGACCAACTCAACCCCTCACTGCTTTCATCATAATCCTGGGGAAAAAGGAAATCAGGAATCCTGGGATAGGGATTTTTAGATTTAAAAGAAGCCCTGCCTAGATGCATCTACTTTCTCCCAAAGATATCTAATCCCTTACTGAGAAAGCAATAGATTTAGGAGCTTAAAGTCACGTACCTGAGGGCTAGCAGTTCCTTTCAATATCTTTGGTTAAATGAAGTGTGCAATATTTGTTTTATTAGGAAGCAGAGGGGGGCTTTAGCTTACTTGAGGAGTTTTATATATCAGAGCTGTGTAGGCTCACTTTGGGCAGAGGAGAGTTTGCCAAAACAACATGGTGGTTGGAGGAAAACAAGCATCCCACTCTTTGTGCATCAGACTTGGGAGCAAGCAGATGGGTCCTCAAGGCTTCTCAGTCTGTCCCTTGGAACACTTCCCAGACCACCTGCCTCAATGGCCCTTGCCTTGCACCTTGAATGTTTCTGCCTGGTTCAAAAGTGCCCTTGAACTCTGATAATGCCACTTGCTTGCCTAGATGGAGGGCAGAGAGGGGTGGACAAGTGCATAGAAACTAGCCTCTTGTACAAAGGTAAAACATACACTTCTTGCCCCACCCAGTTTTGCCTCTGGTCCTGCCCACCATAGTCATGTGACCCTCAAAAGGTTGTCCAGAAGGGAATATGGCCCTCATCTGAAAAGTGGCCCTCAGAGGGGTTTAGCAACTGAATTGTCTGCCTAGGGAACTATGAGAACGGTAAAGGTAAAGCAAAAAATATATATCCCCTGAACAGTTAACTCCAGTTGAATTTGACTATGTGGTCCCCTATGGGAGGGGAATAGGGGTCTCCTGTTGTCAGCACCCTTAACAAACCACAGTTCCCAGGATTCTTTGGGATGAAGCCATGACTATTTAAAGAGGTATACAGTGGTACCTCAGGCTACATACGCTTCAGGTTACAGACTCCACTAACCCAGAAATAGTACCTCGGGTTAAGAACTTTGCTTCAGGACGAGAACAGAAATCGTGCAGCGGCAGCAGGAGGCCCAATAAGCTAAAGTGGTGCTTCAAGTTAAGAACAGTTTCAGGTTAACAGACCTCCAGAACAAATTAAATTCTTAACCCGAGGTACCACTGTAATACTGTTTCGAATATATAGTGCAGATGGGATCTTACAATCCACTCATGCTGATGCCACTGATCCAAACTTCAGGTTTCCCTTCCTCCAGTCTGAATATTCACTGATTCTATGAATACCAATTTGGTGAAGTTGTGGTCCCTCCCCGCCTTCTCCTTGTTTAAAATCTCCCACAACAGCTGCACAGGAAACTTCCTATTCATCTTTTAAAATTTATCTTGACCCTAGCTCCCCATATCAGCTAGTTTGTAGCTGCTTGTTGACTATTATCTCATGCGCTTTCCTGCACAAGATACTTGGGGAGTAATTAAAATAACATCACTTTCTACTTTTGATGCCTACCACCTGTACGCTTTTACTGCTGGGATTTCTCTCAGAGGAAGAGGAGAGAAAAAGATTCACCTTTTGTTAAAAAAAAAAAAAAAGCACTGGAAAAGAAAATGTCTATAGTTTTGGACAGAATAAATATATCAATTCATTTCTTGACCATAGACCTCCCCACATTTAATATGCAAACGCTGGCATTTAGGGGGATCTTTGCTGATACTTTGGCTGATGGGCACTGGAGTCCAACAACATCTGGGGGGGGGGCACAGGATCCTTCAGCGCCGGTCTAAAGCAGGGCTGGAGAATGTCCTGCAGACCTCCTTCCTCCAAGCAGAAATAAGAACATTTGGGAGGGGTTTCCTGGGTGTAGTTGCTTTAAGTATTGTTGTTACTGTAGTTTGCAGGGTTGTTCTTGTTGTTTTGCTTTCTTGGGGGTGGGCATTCGAAAAACTCATACCTACCTGTGCTTTGTAAGTGCCCCCATCATGCCTGCATCTTTTTACTCTTAAGAACAGAAGGATGTCTGGGTTTCCCATTCTGGCATCCAAGAAAATGTGGACATGTTTAAGGGGGCGTGTTCAGTGTAAGAAAGACGGAGCCAATGTAAACAGGAACTGAGCAGGAACAGCAAACAATCCCTTGTGCAAAGCAGATGATGATGATGATGATGATTACATTTATATCCAGTGCTGGTACTCACCATGAAGTTATTACAGTAATTGCCACACCTTTAACTAGTGCCTTTCTTCTAGGGGGAAAAAAAGGGTGCTGGTACTACGTACCCTTGAGTGTCCTCAGAAAAATAGCATTGTTTATATGCCACCTTTCCTCCAAGGATCTTAAGGTGGTTGCACAATTCTCCTTCTCCTTGTTATATCCTCACAACAACCCCGTGAGGTAGGTTAAGGTGAGAGGTGGTGACTGGTCTAAGATGAGCTTCATGCCAAGTGGGGATTTGAATCTGGTTCAGAGCTCTAACCATCTTTTTTTGAGGGGATGTTTCCTGTGGCCTTTTGTGGGCCCTCTTTTTTCCAATGGGCACAAAACATTCCAGGCTACTTAGCACACACAGTTTTCACTGGGCTTTTTAAAAGCTTGCTTAAATTTCTGATTTTAATATTTTTGGGTTCCCCTGAGCATGCTGATCCTGTTTCTCAGTGGCCCAGTTTGGGCTACAATCCTGTCTGCACTCTGCACCTGGGATTGCTATTATACGGAGTCATGATAGAACAGGGGAAAAGAAAAGGCCTTTTAAGCAAAATGTTTCCCATATATTTTCATGAAAATGCCAATACGGTTTTTAAAAAACACAACAAAGCAGAAGGTACATTTAGTTCTTTCAGTATTTATCCCCTTTCCTTTTTTTGCGATATCTCAACTGTGCTTTTCTGCTTGTGTTGTTTACATCGCACTTCCTTCTGAGAAATGTATAATTTAGATAATGACAAATACAGTCTTCTCTAGCCACAGGTCCTAGAAGAGAGAAAACATACATTTTAATGCATTCAGTGCTAGTGCATTATCTTTCGTAAATAAGGCCGTCTGCTTGCGGGAATTGTAATTATTTGCTCGTTCAGAATGTTGATATGGAAAATAATGTCTTTTACTCCTGGGTCACATGCCAAAAACTGTAATTCTCTCTCTCTCTCCCCCTTTCCTGTTCTATTCATTTTTGGCTGGTGGGGGTGGCGGAAGGTATAAAAACCATTGAATCTTAAATAACAGCCTCTCTCATCTAATTGTGTTGGGGGAGTATCAAGAGCTCCCTGTATTTCTTTTGGCAGTTGCAAACTTGTAAACAAGGTGGACAGGTCCCTATTATCAAGAACAAAAAAGCACAAAGCAAACTTTATGAAACATTTAGCTGTGCAACAAAGTTGCGGTGCTCAGGGGTCTGACCTTGGTGCTTTAGAAAGGGGAATTGATTCACTGGAACAAGTACAAAGCTAGTTTTTGGTGCTAAATGTAAAATG